CTATATGCTATAGTGGTTCGATATAAATAATATATACGGAGCTTGTAGTGAAACCTTGGATAAAAATCTATGCGGAATTTCGTGTAGATATCTCGTCAAATAAAAAAGTTTTCCATACAAGTATACACATATGCATGTATGTATGTATGTTTGTGCTCGTCGATCGATTCAACGCTTTGCTCTTAGCTTTTTGCTGCTGTGTCGGTATGTGTGTTTGTAAATATGTATGCTTTCAAATGCAAATCAAACGAAAACTTTGCCTTGTTAGCTTTTAGCTTAACCCCTCATACATGCACACATATATCTACACACGTTTGTTTGTATATTCCTTTTACCAACCTTTCCAATTACATTTTCTTATTTAATTTGTATTAAAATAACACATGTTTTTTTTTGATGTAGCGGATTAGTTAGCTTTAACTGCGCGGCTCGCAGTATGCTTAGCAAGTGGAGTAGCCGAAAAGACAGAACTCCCAAACTAATATTAAAATATTCAAAATCATAAGATTTGGTTAACAAACAAGCAGCTGAAAACACGAAACAACACCCAAAAGATACAATCAAAGTCATAGTGCATTTGCTTGCCGGTTTGGGTGTATGCTCCGGTCATTCCCCCCGCGCTTGTTAAGTGCTCATAAATTCACTTCTAAGCACTGTACATATAAAAGTATATAAATATAAGTATATAAATACATATACACATACACACGGCTATTTGTTGTTGCAGACAGTGTGCGTGGCGCCCTTTTTGGCTCAACGCTTAGATTTCGTATTAAATTTTTGAGTGCTCCAAACCTTTATTCATACATACATACACACAAACGTATGTGTAAATGCAGTGGAGCACGCAGTGGCGTTCACTTTACACACATTCATTCATACATGTGCACAACCACATACTACGTTTGCGACTTCAGGCAAGTTTTCTTGCTTTCAGCGCCATCCGCTTTTGCTTTTGAAGTAATTTTGAAGCATTTGAAATCAATTTTTGGTGTGGCATCTAAGAAGTTCAATACACATTCTTAATGATAACTATTTCCAACGTGAATTCATATTTTATGACAACAAACGCTTTGATAATCGAACTTAAATATTAAAATTAAAGTGGCTTTGTAAAATATGGCATTTTTAGCATGACTTTTTTAGTTTATGTCATGCTACTTTATTGTACCTTTCTCCAAAGAAAGCACTTAGAAAAAAGCAAATACATATGTCTATTTTGTCTAGGATTCAAGAATATTTTAAATATTACTGCATTAAAAAGTTTGGTTAGTCTAGCGGTCTTAAGAAGGGCAAATTTTGACAATTAATTTTGCGAGGGCCGCTATGGCCAACGGTGTTTCTAGGAAATCGTAATAATAAATAAAAACTTTAACTTTGTTTGCACTGCAGCTATAATACCATCAACAAACAAAGAAGTTCCCATAAAAGAATTTGATTTTGATTGGTCAGTTTGTATGTTAGCTATATGATATAGTGGCTCGATCTGAACAATTTTTTCGCATATTACACCATTACTTTAGAAAATAACTCACGCTAAATTTCTTGAAGATATCTCGTCAAATGAAAAGCAATTGATTCCGATCGTTCAGTTTGTATGGCAGCTTTATCCTATAATGATCCGAACGCTTCAATAACACAAAATAATAGACAGAAAACTTTTTCATTCATTGTTCTACCAAGTGTACCAAGTGTAGAACTCTAAATTGTACTTTAAGCCAAAAAAAAACAATCGATGTTTTGAAAATTCTAGACTAATCTGGCCTAATCCTTTAAAAGAAAAAGAAAAAAAACGTTTAAATACTGTTTTTGTATTACGCCTAGTATTAATTATTTACTGAGTAACGAGTAACAGCACACATTGCTGCGCTTCTGCTCCTTTGGGTATGCTTCGATTTTTTACTTTTTATGCTGTTGTTTAGCTAACATTTTCCTTTATAAATTCTTTTCGAAGTTCGTTGTTATAAAAGCAAAACATACCTCTTTTAGGTACGCTGAATTTAAAAAAATATGAATTTTTAGTTATTATAATTCAAAAGAAATCTTTCAAGCGCTCGAAAAGCTTATTTATGGAACAGAGCTTATAGTATATAAAACGGTGGATTCTAAACTAAAGTTCTAAATAATAATAATCTAATTTCCAAATAAACAAAACAACTTTCATATAGATATATGTCTTTTTATTTTGAAAAATATGTTCTTTGTAAAAAAAAAAATATATTTATAACTCACAATAAAATTATTAGCATTTGATTAAAATATGTTTGAGCAAAATAAGCTAACTTAAAAGTTATAAATAGCTAAGTACAAGTTTATATATATATACATGTAAATAAAAGTAGACACAAAATAATGCTCAAAACGCATACAAAACTCGCACCAAAACCGAACATATTGTATGTTTTCATATATTTAAGTATATAAACTGCTTAAAAAATTTTTTAATATGCTTTTAAATAAAATTATAATATCCTTTAAAAAAATTATTATATGTTTTTAAGAAAATTTTTAGAAAATGTAAAATCTGCTATAAAAAAAAATTATAATATGCCTAAAAAAAAATTTTTATTTTGCTTTAAAATTTTTTGAACTCAGTCAAAAAGTGTTGAACTTTGTTAAAAAAAAGTTCTCTATTGCTTTTGTTGTATGCATGTAAAGTATTTGATATGCATACATATGTAAATGTAAATAATTTTTCTTTTGATTGAAATTTTTCGGGTGCGAACCAAAGCACTTTAATAGAAAAAAACCTAAATTACATTAAATTATATATTTCTTACATAAAAAATATGCGAATACATATGTAGGTACTTTACAATACAAATACATTATATAACTTGCAAGTGTGGCACATACGCTTTGCTCTCACGCACAAATTTTAATTACATTGCATGAACTTTATACAGTTAAGCCTAATTACATACAAATATCAAAACGCCGTCGCATAATATTAAGTAAGCATGTGTTCGCAGCATTAAATACGATTGGTTATGTATTGAATATTTTTTTTTTTTGAGTTTAATGTTAAGCAAGCCTTATGCTAGTAATCAATATATAGGTATATATGTATATAAATGTATGTATGAGTAGCTAATAGTTTGATGCTTATTATTTTAATAGCATGCTTGCTTTAAGTAATCATTCAAATTGTTATATTAAAAAAATATTATTAAAATTTTATTTAAGTTAATTTGCAGCTTTTACGCGAAATTCACTTTTTTGCGTTGCTGTATTTGCAATAATTAAATGAGTTTGAATATTTTAAGTGAATTTTCAATTTTAAACTTTGATAATCAAGCAAAGTGCCAAGTAAGGCTTACTCTTATAAAAACAATCGAAAACTCGAGTGTTTTATAGCTCAATTTTTTTGCACGAAATCGAAAATCGTTTGCTTTATAGCTCATTTTTTTTGTTTGGCAAGTTGGCGCAACGTTTCCATTAAGCATTTTTCACATTTTTTTGCGTTCCCGAAAATAAATTTAATTTTTTCTTAGTTTATTTATTTATTTCTATTAATTTTGCTACAATAACTTTTAAGATCTAATTTTTTAAATATTGTATGTGCATTCGTTTGCAATAATAACCACTAACTTTGAATTATTATTTTTTCTTATTTCGTTTTTAATAAATTTCGTACATTTCTTTTTTAAGTATTTCTGCTGTAAATATATTATTTAAATAATTTTGTGCAATTTTCCAAACACATTTTTGACATTATTTTATTTAAATTTTATTTAAATTTCGTTGAATTTTCTAAAATTATAAACACAAAGATATTAATTTTTAAATTTTTTCAATTTTCCAAAATTACTTTGATTTATAAAATTACGTTAAATTTACCAAAAAAAATTTTATGCACGTAATTATATTAGTGTTTTTTCAATTTCGTTAAATTTTATAAAAATTATGGATCCAAAGATATCTTTTTTCTTGTTTTTTGAAATTTTGTTGCATTTTTTCAAAATTACTTTGGAAAAAAGTTGGACTCAGCTATATTTTGCTAAATTTCGTTTGTATTTTCAAAGTATTATTGACACAAACACAATTTTACTAGTATTCTTTTCACTTTTGCAAAGCATTTGTATTGCATTAATTCTCAGTTAAATTTCGTTTACTTTTTAAAAGCTTTTGTATTTTGTTATCTAAAAATTTTTGGATCATTGTTCACTTAATTTAGATGTAGTTATATATTTATGTATATTATGTATTAATGTATTTTAATTGCTAATATAACATGTAAATATATACGTTTGCTTAGAGAAAAAAATTTGAGGTTAAAATGAAATTTAAAAAAACATTTCACGTTTAATTTAAAAAAAAAAAATTCAAATATTTTTAGGTTAAATTAAAAAAAAAAAAATTTTGGTTCAATGAAAAAAATATGCTTAGATTACATTAAAAAGAAATATTTTTAAGTTAACTTAAAAAAAAATATTTTTTCAGGGTAAATTAAAAAAAATATTTTTAGGTTAAATAAAAAAAAATATTTTTAGGTTAAATTAAAAAAGGTATTTTTAGGTTAAATAAAAAAAGAAAATTTTAAGTTTAATATAAAAATAATATTTTTAGGTTAAATTAAAAAAAAATTGAATAATAAAATTTAAAGTTTAAAATTAACTTTTTCCATACATATGTATATAGATGAATCTCACTTTTTTTCATAAAATAAAAAACTTGTGGCCAACGGCGTGTCAAAAGCACACGAATTTTAGTTAAATAGCATTAGAGCACTTTTTTAAATTTATGTAAAAAGAAAATATAAATAAAAGTTAAAAACAGTTTTTGTGTTGGAAAAATGGTTGACTGATGCTTTAGACATTAACGTACATTAATATATAAAAAAAAACTTTCGACCACAATTGCGGAATAAAGAAACATTTAACTTAAATTATTGCCGTACAAGCTTAAAACATACATATGTACAATACATATATAAACAAATCTTCAGAAAAGAATTATAATCAACTCGCCATAAAACAATTAATTAAAAGTAGTCATAATAAAGTCAAAAATGTATAATTAATCAAAATAATTGTATAAAGCTTTCTTTTCTCTGTAGCAAACGTTAATTTTTACTTTCGCTCTTATAAAGTGTTACAAATTTTAATCAAAATGCTTATTTTACTAACTTATTTGCTATAAAAAATGTTTTTTGTTTGCTCTCTTAGCGCTTAAGTACAAATTTTCGTTTTGTTTAAAATCATTGTGTGTTAATATTTTGTCACTCCAAAAGTTTTTTCTACAAAGTTAATCTTGTTATATTTTTTTCATCTTTTTATATGCGAAATTTGCACACAAACAAATTGAATATCAATTCGTTTATTTTAATAAAGTTCAGAGCATGCAGCAAATCGCTTGCACTAAAACATTATTTCGCCCATAAATTTCCATTTTCCTTTGCCACATACATTTCCTGCCGCATTCATTTCTTACTGCTATTGCGATGCCGAAAGTAATAACGCGATGTCACCGCTACCAAGCGCTTTTCAGCAAAGCGTTTTGGCCAATTCTAGGATTCGTAGAGCAAACGCTGATAGTGCGGCAATACCTCATGCATGGGTACATGCAAGCTGAATTCTAATGCCACAAGCACGGCGAATTCTGAAGCGATGAGTTCCTTACGATTCACACGAAAAACACTCTCGGTTTTCTGGTGATAAAGAAAACATTAAATTAAGTAACAAAAAAAAATTAATTTATTGCGCAATTAATTTCAACTCATACACACCTCAATTAAGCTCTTCAGCGATTCACCTTTGACATCGTTCATTTTGGCGCTGAGTAGCAGACAAGAGCCTGCACATAGCTTGCGATTACTCTTGTTGATTAGGTTGGCCAAGATCAATTTCTCAAAGTAGACATACGCTTGCGATATAGTGACCAAATCAATGCGACTGTCCAACTTGTTGATGCGACGCATTTCACGCTTGATGCTGTTGAGTGGCACAAAAAAAAAACAAATTAGTGAGCAACTTATACAAGATTACAGTTGTTTATTTGCGCTCACCTGCGTAATTTGCTCAGCGTCAATTGTATGTGTGGAAATTTCTCACGGAATTTATCATTCAATTCCTTCTTCAAGTCCGATGGACGCACATAATCGATCACCGATGTCATGTATGAGGTGAATGTGAGCAAAGTGCGGTGCTTGCCCGCAATCAATTCGGGATCATCCAAAATACTTGCGGAATATTGAAACTGAAAATGCGGAAGAGTTCAAAAATTTAGTTGAAAATTTTAATGATATAAAAAATTAATAATAATTAAGTAGTAATTAATTTATATAAGTAATAATTAAGGAGCAATTAATTAATAAATAATTAAAAATTATTTAGATTTTTAAAGAGTGTAATAAGGTAGTAATCATTAAGCAAAATATAATATATATGTAATAAGTAAGGAGTAATGAAACAAAAATTAATTAAAATTGTTCAGATTTTAAACCATGTAATAAGTTAGTAATAATTAAGTAGTAAATTATTTAGTAAGAAGTAATGAATCAATTATTAATAAAAAATTATCTAGATTTTTAAAGCATGTAATTAAGTAGTAATTAATTTATATATACTAATTAAGTACTAATTAACTTAGAAATAATAATTAAGCAGTAATTAAGCAATAATTAATTTCAATTTAATCCAATTTTTGCAAGAATATAATAAATTGACAGTAATTAATTTATAAACAATAATTAAGGAGTAATTACTTAATAATTAATTAGGTAATTAACTAAAAAAAAACTATATTTACATTTAAAAAAATTAAAGTTAATTAAAGAATGCTATTATAATTGAAAAATTTAGTTAAAAAATAATTATAATTAAGTAATCAAAAATTAAGTGTCAATCTCAACAACTCACCTGCATGCCGCGTGTACCCTCTGCATTCCACAATAAATTATCATCTAAATCCAATTTTAGTTCCGGTGTCGGACTTGCGGTACTATTGCGATTATTGTTGTCATAAGTGAAGCACCTATCACAATTCAAAAATATATAAAAGATGTATACATTAATTCGGAAATTACTTCAAAGTTGAAACTATTTAAATTAACAAACAAATACATGCCAAAAAATAAATAAATAAATAAAAAAAAAATTATATAGAAAAGTGATTTTTTTTGTATTGAAATGTAGATATTGTGTTATGCAAAAACAAAAAAACATATATATTATATAAAATAAAATTGTATGATCTCTAAATATTGTTGTGTGTTATGAAATTGTATGATATTATGTTGTTAGTATATATTGTATGCAAATGTTAGTGATTTCGTGGTTAAAAACAAAATAGAAAAAAAATTCAAATGAATGAATAAAAGTAAAAGTGAACAAATCGACGGCCTACGCCTATAAGTAGGCAATACTTTCAGTTAAATTCAAATTATTACATAATTACGACGACATTTAGTTAACAAAAAAATAATTGTATAGAACTATGAGCGCCGCACAGCTTTATAATTTAGACAATTAGATAAAATTAATAATATCATTAAAATTAATAAATAAATAATTCTTCTGAAAGTTATCCACAACAATTGTTCGATATTCAATTTGATTCACCATAATATTTAAAATTTATTCGCCTTATTTTAATCAATTAAGATTGAAAAGCCATTTAAATTAAATTAACACAATTAATTAAATTTAATTTGTGTACTTAAATCAATAATTCAGCAATTTTTTTAATTTAATTGATTCAATTCAATTAGTCAATGCAGTCTAGTCAAATTTAACTAAAGTAAACTGAGAACTAAGAAAATTGTATTCAATGCTATAATTAATTTTTGCTTAATTAAGAAATTAAACTTACTTTATTTCGTTTAGTAGCCAATGTTTGTTTTCACTCTTAAGTTCTATACAACATTTTTTTTTTTTTCGCATACGCTCGCATAACAGTTTCTGTATTTATTAAGAGTTGCACGGTGTTTAAAGGAAATCAATAAATAATTCTTATTCTTTAAAATTTCATATAAAATTTTTTTATAAAAAAATCAAATATAATATCATTTCAAATAAATATAAATCCTATTTTATTTACCAATAAGTAATAAATGTCAAATAATATTTTACAATATGCAACAAAGTTTTCATATACTTTTTTTTTAAATATTGTTGACAATATTTTTTGGTATATCAATCATACTCAAAATCGAGTTTATAATTTATGCTTAAAACCAGTTACAAATTAAAAAAAAATTATCAGTTGCATTTACAAATTCATCACATATTTAATTATTTTTCCGAGCTTAAAATACCTTTAAACACCAGAAAACAATTACCAATACAAACAACTACTTCTACCTCTAACAGTTAGCAGCAGCAAACTATATTTTACGCTTAAAAATATTTTAAAGAAATTGTTTAATTTTTTTTATTTTTAATTACCATTTTCCCTTTTGCCAAGTTATAACTTTTGTCCTGCAAATACAGCGCGCAAAAAATAAAAGATTCCAAATTAAAATTTTATTGCATTTTATAGAAGTTTGGCAGCATAATAATGTGCTTGCAAGTTGTTTGTGTGTTTAGTAATATTTATTTTTGCCTAATATGCACTTTGCAACTCTGTAGCGTAGAAAAAACTAAAATAAAATATATATGAAAATATTTTGTTTTGTGCGCAAATACCTAAAGAGAGGCAGAATTGTCAAGTCCTACGACAACAAGTGACTGGGTAATTGAATTTCAAAACAAAAATTAATAATAATTATAAAAAGTAAAAAAAAAAATCAAAGAAATATAACATTTTTGCTAAATGGACTAAAAATAACAAAATGTAAAAGGTATATAAAAAAATCTACACATGATTTTTTTCTTGAAAACATAAGACAAATAAAAAAAAATTAAATATTGTAGTAGTCGCATAAGCAGCTCTTTACATTAGCGTAAATATTTGTCACATGACGCCCAAAACAATGAGGCCGTGATTTTACTTCCACAAAAAGTAAATTTTAAAAAAATTATAAATTCCAAAAGCGAAAAAATATAAACAATGTGGAGCAGTTTGCATCAGCAAAGGGATTCATATTTCTTTGTCATTAATTTTGTTTTATAGAATTGGCATAGTGCAATAAGTAGTCACATGTAAACAATAACAAAAACAAAAGGTGTCAAAATGCAATAAGTTACGGCGTAGTTAAGCGCGAAAAGCAGTAAAAGAATAAATAAAAAGAAAAAAAATACAGTAAAACAATAATAAACCACGCCATAAGGGGCTCGTTCGGCTGATGTAAACACTTTTTATTGAAAAATATTTACATAAAAAAGTAATTAAAAAAACATAAATAAACAAAGAAACCCTTTTGTATGATGCAAAATATTTCGATAGTTGCAAGTAATTTTGAGTTAAAATTACAAAAGAGCATTTTTTGCTACATGAAAAAAAGCGAGCAACTTGAGTTAACTGTAATTTTGCATAGGCTTGGCTTAACACTTTTCAGCAGACTACTTGGCGGCGGAAAATGCCTATGCAACGAAATTTTTGCTTTTACTGACAAATCGGTTGAGCTCAGTAATATATTCATATATCTCTGTAAAATTATACATTGAAAAAATTACACTTGCGCTCCATTTGGAAAGAGTCGCTTTATTATGCCCACAAATTATTCAATAAATACCATGAAAATTAAAAAAAATAATAATTTTATATATATATATAAAAAAACAAAATAAAATTAAAAAAGAAAAAAAATTATATAAAAAAATTTTTTTTAATATAAAAAAATAATTAAATTAAATAAGAAAAAAAATTTCTTAATTCATATATAAAAAAAATTAAAAATTAAAAATTCATATATTTCTTTAGACACTAATCAGTAAATAACAAACAAAAATTAAATAATCTAAAAAATTAAAAAAAATTTATATATCAAATTTTTTTAAAAATAATTTTAATAAATTTTTTTTTGTTCAGCGCAAATTTTTTCAATTTTCAAAATGTTTCAAAACTTTTTTCAACAAAATCATTATACAAATTCAATATTTTTCTCGCTTCCTCGCTAACACTGAGTAACTGACACTGAAGTACTATGCCATTTGATATATCCTTATACGCTATTGACCTGTCAGTTGAAGAAACAATTTTCTTTAGCTATAAAATCTCTATTGGGTGAGGTCATGCCTCGATTGGGCCAAGACACGCAAGCTAGCGATTTGAAGCTATTTAAATAGAGTATAAACACACCCACAAAAATGACAAAGAAATTGCGTGTCTAGCTACAGACGTTCGTAATAGAAGTTATTTAATACCAGACGACATACATGCATATACATATATATATTTATATATATACAGCTGCTTGTTGGCGCTAAAGCTCACACGGCGTACAAATACCGGCTTTTGAGAGACGAGACTAAAACAAAACGCTGAAAACTTGAAAATGTTGAAAATGCTGACAATGAAATGCTTTGGATACGACGTCAATGCGGTTGCGTGGGTGTACATATGTTTGTAGTGGAAGGTGTGTGCTGTGTTGCCGGCGGCAAAAGTGAAGAAATCAATAATTTGTATAAGCGTTGCACGACGCTTGTTATTGCGTTTCGCTTTTAATATCACGCCTTTAACTACCACTAAATGCAAGCAAACAATATTGATGGATGTTTATCCACAATTTTATGACCATTAAACTAGATGATTTGAATAGTTTTAGCAACATGGGTGAGATGGTTAGTACAGTAAGCACATTAGATGGGCGGGGGGAAAAAATGGCGTAAGCTGCTAAAGCGTTGGAAAATGACGGAGAGCGGCTTATGTATATGTGAAAGAGTGTTTGTGGGTATATGTTTGCGTATGTGTGAGTTTTTTCTGCAGGAGCGCTGTATGTGTGATAGCACAGTTCAAGGTCACTGTGTGCCGGCATATACGCCCCACCACCCCATTGTCCAAAAAAACCCAACAACACACTCACCTGGCGATGCCGTGATTTTTAAGTGCTGCTGTACTCGTAATTTCGATTTGACTATCCAATAGCGATGTATTGCCCGAAGTGCCACCGCCATGCTTGCTCTTACTCTCTTTGCCATAATGGCGTTGGGGTATGAGTAAATGTCCATAGGAGATTTCCTGTAATGCCACGGTATAAAATATGAGATTAATGTGTTATGTAAAGAATAACGGTTACCCACCTGCCCACTTTCACCCTTTTCGATGCCCAGCAGATCGAATGGATCGAAGGGTGCATCATTGATGGCGGATAGGGGACGCGAACCGGATGGGTTGCGTCGACGACCCTCCTTGCGTAACTCGGCTCTGTTTGCAGGAGAGAAATAATATTTTAGAGATTGAGTATGGTGTGGCATAATAAAACAATAACAAACTACACGTTTTTATTAAATAATTTAATTTAAAACATTAAAAAACATATAAAAAAATTATTATATAAAACTTAAACAAAAATTAGAAAAATAATTAAAAAAAAACAGTTATTAAAAAATAAAAAAATAATAAAAAATATACTAATAATTCAAAATATATAAAATATTTTAATTAAAAATAAAATATTTCAAATAAAACTACAAAAATAATAACATTTCAAAAATTATATAAAATATTAATTTAAAATTTTAAAATTTCAATTAAAAATATTAAAAATAATAATAAAATTAATATTAAAAATAATAATTAAAACTTATAAAAAAAATAATAAAAAATAAATATTTCATTACAAATTAAAAGAAAAAATAATAATATTCAAAATAAACAGGAAAAATTAACCAAATTTAAAAAAAAATTTTAAAATATTATTAAAAAAAATTATTAAAATATTTTAATGAAAAATTAAATATTTAAATCAAAATATTTTAATAAAAAATAAATTTAATATTTGAATAAAAAAAAAAAAAAAAAATTTCAATAAATTAGAGAAGAACCACTCACCGGCCATTTTTACCCTTATAGTAGGGCAATGCCGAGAATATAAAGAATGGCACTTTACGTGACGTCAACACCACACGCTCATCCTTGTACTGATGCTGTTTGTGCGCTTGTGCATTGAGGATGCGTAAGTCCTTAGCGTCGTTGATCTGCACACTCTTGCTGATGCTGCCGCGTCCAGTAAAACTGCCCGGAAAACTGCCGGGCGTCAAACTCTCCGTACTGCTATCGTCGGTTATGTGCGTGGAACCGTGTATAATGTTGCACGATCGCTTGCCACTAGCACTGCCGCCGATACGCATACCCGGTGCGGTATTGAGGCGTGCGCGACGCTCCGGCATGATATTGGCATCGTTGGCGCCATTGCTGAAAGTTCTAAAAATAAAACAAGCAAAAAAAATATTTAAAGTTGAAGTTGCAATATTTGTTATTGTTGTTATTATTTTTTGTATGAGAAATCACTACTACATAACCCATAAAAATGCTCAAAATGTTTGTGTACGTTTGCTTTTACTTTTTCATAAAGTTTTTCATGATTTTCTCTTAAAATTTATTTATTATTTTTTTTTCTATATACATATTTTATAACATAAATTAATATTTTTAAAAAGAAATTTTTCAAAGAATGCTCAAAATATGTTACACTTCTAATTTACGCAATTACTGCACTGAACTTATTTTCGTTATGTGCTATTCAACAGTTTGCTTAGCATTAAGTTTTTATCTTGCCAACATTTTATCGAGCTAATTTGAATGTAAACAGAGAGCGAGAGGCAGAGAGAGCGCGCCAAACCGCATAACAGATAACAATTACGAATAAATGCCATATTTTCGCAAATGGAAATTGTTTTAACAAGAATCCACATAAAGTACCAGTAAGAAGAACATATTTTATTGTTTTCCAACATTCTTGCCAACTATGCTAATATTTCAATTCATAATAAAGAATAATTATAATGAACTTGTTTCAAAATATTTTTTTGTTTGCAATGAAAACTTGTCTTGCCTTGAAAAATATGTTTTATGAATTTTTGATAGGGTTGCCATACAGGCGCTTAGTAATTGCTATTATAATTATTGCAAAAGTAAAACAATAATAAGCGAATTATTACAAATATAGAAATATAACTATCTTAAACACGCCAACACACAAAATATTTTTTTTTCATAAAGAAATAAAATTTTTCTAAAGCTAGGTTGCCATAGATGCTTTTAAGTGCGTTAAAATTGTAAGCATTGTTTAATTCACGTATGAAAAAACTCAATGAAATAAGCACAAAATGTTTTTGTTAAAATATTTTTTTTAAATAATTTATATTGTATATAGTTTTCAACCATATATATAGTTTTTGTTTATTTATATTTTGTCAAGAAAGCTATAAAATATGTAATAAAAAGGAATTTTTCTGAAAAAAATGAGTGATAGACTTGCCAACAAATTTCTATAGCTATTGTAGGTGGCAACTCTATTAACGTGTTCTTTTTTTTATAGAAACTTATATTTCGTAATTTAATTTAATGACTTTTTTAAATTTTTTCTCTAATTTGGGTTGGGCAAGATATTAAAATGTGATAGGGTTGCCGCATAATTATTGAATTGCTAGAATTGCCAAATAATTTCTATAGCTATTGTAGGTGGCAACTCTATCAACTTGTTTTTTTTATAAAAACTTACATTTCGTAATTTAATTTAATGATTTTTTTTTTATTTCTGCTTTAATTTGCGTTTGGCAGCTGTATACATATTAAACTGTGATAGGGTTGCCGCATAATTATTGAATTAAAACAATTTTGAATTCAAAATTTTCGAAAATTTTTGGTTTTGCGCACATATTAATAAGTTTTCAATGAGCTTAAACTGAAACCAAATTCAAATTAGGGTTGCCATGGCTATATTTATAAAAAAAAATTCGTTTAATATGCTTTTTTTTAAATTTGTTTGGGCTTTACAAGCTTTTTTGCCGAATTTCAAAAATATTTTTTTAACGAAATTATTGCTACAGAGTTGCCACAGCTTTGTATTTAATAAAATATAAAATTATAATTTTTGTGAGCAGTTGATTTTTTAATATGATATTAAGTTATTATAATTTTTAACAAATTTTGTTGTTTTCTTATTTATACAAACAAATGGAGCGCTTCAAAAACTTTTTATAACCACAGGACTGAAAGGTAATGGAAGAGTAAAGTTTGCTTAAAATATTTAGGCGAGAATACGAAGTAAGAACAGCTAATTATATAATTTTATGGCACAAGAAGCATGCCAGCGCTTAATGAGCTGTGAGTTATGCGTCCAAAGAAGCAGCATAAGAAAACAGCAGAAGAATTCTAAAAGGCAGATCTGTTTGGTCAAGAAAACGTGCCAGGCGAACAAAGCTTTGGCAGAAGCAGTAAGCAGCCAGCGATCAAGCAACTGCGAGCGATCCTCACTGTTTACTCCACGTACATACATATATACAATACATATACTCATAAGCATTGTTTGTGTTGGTTTGCCTGGCAGAACCGACTTCCGTTCTAAGTGGCGAAACTTTTTAATCTTACGCAACAATCTAGAGCGCAGCAGGCGCACAAAATTCAACAGCAACCAACTACAGTACTTCAAAAACTATGTGTGTATGTTTGTGTGCGCAGAGTTTATGCATAATTTCATGCTTGTTTCTTAAGGTTACCGAAACTGATATTTTTGTTTGTTTTTTTTTGGTTTCAACATGAAAACCAAAATAATATCCACAACAATAACATCAACTCTATGCTATGCAGTCATAGTGTGTACGCATGTGTTTCTTCAAAATGCAGGGCGTATAACCGAAAAGTTTTCATTTAGTGAACGCAGCAGTGAAATAATAATGCCCCGAACATAACGTACAATGTGATAAAGGGCCTTGAGATTTTTTCTGGTTTTTAGTTTTTATTTATAAATTTTGTGTTTGAGTTGTGTGCAGTCACAACGCCAGTCAATACAATGCGCGAATGAGGAAGAGAAGGCAATAAGAGAAAACAACAACAACAGCAAGTGATACAGTCTTAGCTGAACCCTTAGCCACCTTACATATGTATATACACATATCATATATAGTTGTATGCAGTGGGCTGTAGATTGAAGTACGTTATGGGATCAACAACAACAAATATTAAGTAATTTTGGTACAAGTATAAATACACTGAAAAATAATATTAAATAAAAGTGTATAATAATCGTTAACTTGATTTTGATCGGTCAGTTTGTATGGCAGCTATATGCTATAGTAGTTCAATAATCGAATCGGTCGATATCTCAAAAACTGAGGGACTAGTGCGCATTTATACAGATGGTCCGACAATTTAATTAAAATTTGAGATAATTTTTTAAACACATATTCGATAATTTCTTACAGTGTATTTTAAATTTAAACATATTTTCGAACAACGCCACAAATACAGTACATTTATTGTAAGAAAACTAACCAAATTTCAAATTGCTACCAGTAATTTTTTTCAGTGTTTAAGAGTTAAAGCAAAATTTTTGAAAAGAAAAAATACAAAAAAAAAATTACTAAACGATTTGTACAAATTTGTACGTTCACAGCTGGAAAAAAATTATTTATGCGGCATTAAATGTCACTTAATATGCAAATGGACGTTTTGGACACTAATAACAAAAACACCCCTTCCAAATCGATCGATTTTCGAACAGGCACACAGCACGCCATAGGCAGTAAAAGTCAATACGAAAACAAAAATGAACATCGACCAACGGAATGCGCTAACAGCAATAGCAAGGGAAATAAGGGGAGGGGCCGCAGCAATCAAGCGATCGAGCGATTGATCAGACAGAGTTCGCAACAACAAAAAACGACGAATGGTCAATGCATGACCTCACGCACTATTTTACAACAACAACAAGCGATACTTATCTGCTGACTAACAGTTAAAAGCTAGCAGCCAAAACGATCGCCCCAAAATTAGCTCCAAGCGAACGTTCGTGCGCACGCCGTTGGGTGATCGTGGCGTATGGTGAATTTGGCAGCCGTCGAGTGAACAGCCACAACCAGGCACACAGAAGGCATAACAAGCAGATACAACACAATCGTCGCTCCCAACGATTGTCGGAAATTTTCATTATCGAAGTGCATGTAGTGGCGGCCCTTTGCACGCTCGACGGCGTTGTTATTTTCGATCTACACACAATGCGAATACAAGTATGAATTGTTGTTGCAACTGTTGATTCTTGCTCAGTTTGCTGTTGCGTTTTGGAAAACACTTGGCGTTGTTCGTAAGCAAGTGTCTCACTGCCGGCTGGTGGTTGCAAGTTGCTTGTTGTTGCTGCTCATTAAATGGTGTTGATTATAGGTACAGAAGTGCATTTAATTTTAGAGATTCAATGTGACAGACACACATGCATATACTTCTTACTTTTATTGCCGTTTATTTACTGCAACGTCTCTTTCATTTTTATTTACTTTGCTTACAGTGGCGGTGTGGATTTTGCAACAGTGAATATTTTTGTGCTTAATGATCCGCAAGCATTTTTGTATCGTTCAAATATAATCTTTAGTTTCGTTTCTTTAGTAGCAGGCAGGAAATATTGTTATCGAACGCTTATTGAGAGAACGCTTGAATCAAAAGAAGAAATTCTCAGTTATATCGGAAACTATGTTTGTTGTTTTCATTCATTGAAGAGTATTTTTAGTCCATTTTTGTAACATAAAACATTTTCTGTTTCGGTGATATGGACTTGGTCTTTAAATGCTCAAACAAAACGAGACTTAAAGTGTGTCTCCCTATCGAGTGTACTCTACCAGAATTTATTCTCATATAACTACCTTTCGACTTTAAAGAATTTAAAAGCATATTTTGCACAAAATGAGAGTTAAAAAAAAATAATTTTTGTGGATAACCTCAAGTAGCGAACACTTTTCGAAGTTATCAGAGTAAGCACAAGAAAGCGCGATAATCAGCGGCTGGACAGAGCTTCAAAGAATTTATTTCTTTTTCGCATGAAGCGTGCACTTTTATGAAACAGCACTGTAGTCCTACATCTTAACATCCTAAAACTAATTGGAAACAGAGGAAAACACAAAAATACTCGCCAAATAGAAACGTTTGTAAATTGAATGCGCGAAGATAAAAGATTGGCTATTCAACAAGAGACCGCATCCTAACATATCTACAAACTACAAAAGGGAGCGAGAGCGAGAAGAAGCGAACGTAAATGACGTTATCAGTATTAAGAAAGAAAAGTTGTGTTTTTAATTACAAGACGAAACGAAACGCTGCCGCATGGAGAGTGTGGTGGAGTCGAGTGCTCGGCTAACTGAAATGGCATAGCACGCTATGGCATGGCAAGGCAGAGTGTAGCCGAAAAATGGTTTGTTGGCAATGAAAAACTTAGT